GGGCAGAGCACTCCTGACCTTCTCCCAGACTATAACTATGAATGGCCATGTTAGTCAGTGGCTGGAAATGTAAGGAACAGTGATGCAGAACTTTTAAAACTAACCCATTTACTATGGCAGAAGCATTTGTGGGTTGGAGTCTGCTTGATCAGATCCTCGCATCTAACAAAATGGATGCTAGTCCGTGAAAGCTCACGCCGTAATAAATGTGTTGATGCTCAAATGGGCCACAAGACGTTTTGCTGTTTCCATCCGAGGTTCCTCACAACCAGCTCCTGCTGTGCTCCGGTTCTCCACTTGCAGGGCATCCCTTCCCCCACAACCTCCCTTGGGAGAAGGGTAATCGTGTCCAAATGTTACATGTCTCCAAACAATGTGCCCTCTGCCCTGCCTTTCTCAGAGGCACATTAGATTCTCTCCAGCACCGGCTCTGGCAAACAGAGGGGGCTTTGTGTTTGAGGCAATGCTCGGCACCCAAGGCCCAGGCTCCTCACATTCGGCACATGATCCTGAGAAAAGGGGTGCTTCACAGCAGCTGGGCTGCCCATGACCAGCAAACTCTTGGCTGGCGGTCTTTTTTTTGTATGCTGGAATGGTTAGGAGGCTGGGAGACGGGGTGTTGACTGTTCCCCAGCACTGTGAGGGGGAAGAAAGGCCACTTTGTTGAGTCACAGAAATACAGCCTTGGGGGTTGTTTTAATCTGCAGATCAAAGAGGGGAATGGGATTAAGAATGTAAAGAGACTGGGAATCAGAGATCAGTCAACTTTCATTCAGCTTCCTACAATATACTCATTACTTGTTTATAGCTTAGTGTCTATGGCAGCCTTCCCCAGCCTGGTACCCTCCAGATGACTTGGAACAACTCCCATCAATCACAGCCAGCATGGTCCAGTATGCTGGGAGTTGCAGTTCAAGATATCTAGAGGGCACCAGGCTGGAAAAGCTTAGCTATCTGACTGACTCACTCATTTGAGGTTGCAGTTCTATATCCTTATACCTAGAAGGAAGTCCTAGTGGATGTGATGTCCAGAGTAGACATGTATATGGTTGCACCATGAAATAGTTCAGAAAGTCACCAAAACTTTACATTACAGTCCTATGTACACTTAAGCCCTGTGGAACTCTCCTTCAGAGTAGATCTGTGTAGGTTGCATTGTTCAACACTTTTTTGTAAAATGGGAACAGTCTGCCATTTTCTAAGCATTAATGTAATCTGGTCATGAGAACAAAGAATGGCTAAAGGTGTTACATGAGCAAGGAATCCCTGATGGTCTTGCAAATGTTATCTCCAAGTATATTTTTTATAATATTCTCACCCTACTCTTTAGTTAAAGAAGTCTTTAACTTTAAGTTAAAGAGTAGCTTCATCATGAGGCACTCCCTGGCCTCAGGCTTATAGTCTTCCTACCTCACACCACATTCATGGCATGGAAAGACAAGGGAGGCAAGAATACTGCCTCACTGAAGCTCAGGAATAGATTGCTAGAGCAAGCAAAGAGATAACCCTTTCCCAAGGCTGCTTAACCTTATTTCCGAGATAAGTGGTGGGGAGGCTTTAATCTCCCCCCACCCCCCATTGCAGCTACCCTGCACAAGATCACTGGGGCAGGGAGGCTGTAACCCATCTCCTCACTCCAGTGATACTGCTCAAGATGGGAGTGGGAAGAGGCTTCCACCTGCACAGCTATCCCAGCAATGCGGCTGAGGCCGTCTCCCCTCCCAGTGACCCTGGTGGAGACTGCTCCTTAAGACAGCTGCTTTGAGGTCACCCAGGGAGGGGGAGGCGGTTTAGAGTCTTCTCTTCCCAGCAACCCACCCACAACACAACAGTGCCCAGGAACAGTATGCAGCCTGCAGGCTGATTCCCTTCCCCAGCTGGCAGGGTCCCCAGCTGCCAGTACCATTGTATTTTTCCAGGGCTTGGGAAATGCTCAGGTACGGCATAGCTACCCTTAGATCAGAGGCTGCAAACTGTGGGAAATCTTGAGGCCACCTTCCACCGCTTGGACCCCTTGCAGGTTGCACTCCTGCATTTGCACAGCTAAAATTTGGTGGCAGCAAAAAAGGGGCTGCAACCCACTATGGGACTTTTTTTCAACCTATGTTTGTCATTTGCAAATAACTGATTATTTTGGCAGCAGGGCTGACGGGTCTGTATTAGATGGTGGGCCACCTCACCTTAGATTTCTGCATTTCAGTAGAATTCAGATAAGCCTGGAGAACACCCAATATAATCCAGTGGAAAAAGTTAAAATCCCAGGATGCTGTGGGGGGGGGGGGGAGCTTTTTCCTCGAAGCTGCCTAAAATTTTTGGCCCTCTATTGTACACTTTGGATCTTCAGCAAGGGTTAAATATAGGATTTTAAAAACTGCCTGCAAACAATTGCTAGTCATTGGATTTATCTTGGAGACACATCTTTTCACAGATCTCTGCAGCACATTTTTGAAAATCTTAAATTTAGCTTCTGAAGAAGATACAAAATATATGGTAGAATGCCTACAGGGAGGAATAATACTATTTTTTCAATATTCTGAGATTCAAAAAGTGGAACAATATTTGTCTCTACAGCTTACTTAACCTAACAGTCCAGTTGTATTCAGGACTCTGTTGTGAAACTCTTAAAACACTGACGGATATGCCTTGCCTCAGGAACTAAGAATCTAATAAATTCAGGCAGAATTGCACTATAGAGGACCAAGAGTTCAGAACGATCATTTTCAAGCTACTTCTACTGCCTTGCAAATCTCTGGAACTGCATTCTCAGTGTGAGTTTGTGCTTCCTCAAGTTACAGGACATAAAGCTGGGTCTGAAGGACTTCTTCATTCTCCGAATGCCGTGATGCCAGCCTGGACATGCGCACACCAATTTCCCCTGCAATATTGCCCATCAAACAGCTGTTGCCTCTCACGAGCAAGAACTCAAGGGAAGCTTAAAGGGAATGAATGATCTTCTGCTGGAAAGTGGTTCGAAAGCATTTTACACTGGCATTTGCAGTTTTCGCTGAGTTTATTTTTATCCTGAGAAGCAATTGACAATGTTCTTTAGGACTCAGAGTTAGGTAAAATCTAGTCCAAATCTTAAAGCACAATAGGCTCAAGAGACCCCATCCTTCCATATATTTGTTGTATGGACTCTGTGCAACAGTTTGTATGTTTACTTGGAAATATGTCTTTCCTGCTGATGTCAACAGAAGTTACTTTCATGCATTGCAGCCTCAGTTGGTCAGAATAATAGCTCCAATGAATTTCCTATTTTATCTCTTAAGCCAGGAACCTGGCAGGATGGGCAAAAGAGGCAACTGCATCCGCATCTTTAAGAGGTTTTGTGGAAAAGAAAATTTCAGCAGATGACATTTGCCTGGGAAGCTACACCTGCTAAAGTTCCCCAACAAAAGCTGGCTTTGGCAGGTTTTTAGAGATGCCTTGGCTCCTTTCCTCCTACACCACAGCCTAGCTCATTCAGCAGGGCTCTCCAGGACTCTGGGTAGCACTTTCGGGGGGGCGGGTGGAGAGGCTGCCATGGAGATCGGAGCAGGGAGATCTTCCAGCCCAGGCACACATTCCCAAACCTGGATCCAACCTGTTCTATAATCTTTAAGCAGGGCTGGGGAGTCTGGGGCCCTTCAGTTGGGGCTATCAGTCCTAGCTAACCTGACCTGTGGTGAAGGATGATGGGAGTTGTAGCTCAGCATTATCTGGAAGGCAATAGGTTTCCCATTCCTCTCTTAAGAGTAATAGCTAATAAAAAGCCCAGAAAAAAGTGCCTGAGCCAAGCCTGATCAAATCAAAGCTGATACTGTATTCAGAATTTACCTTAGTTTGCAGAAATGAATCAGCAACTAGAGACCTAAGTTCTGATGTCAGATTTTCCACTGCAAGTTTAAGTATCACTTCCAGGGCTGATTAGTTGACCACAACCATTTAGTGTTCCTCTGCCTGAATATTGTTGAAGTTTGGCCAAAACTGTAATCCTATGCACACTCAAGTGGGTATATTCTCCTCAGCAAAGTAGGACTTATATCTGAGTAAGCATAAATAGCATAAGGTTTTGTTGTTTCTAGGCTAACAATTGTCCAACCAAGGTTACTTGAGAAGCCAGAGAAAACTCTGACAGCACTTTAAAGATGAGCAGAAGTATTATGGACTGAAGCTTTTGTGGACTGGAGCACATATAAACAGATGCATGCAAGTATTATGCTAACCAATGGTGCTAGGTCTTCCAGGGAAATTTGATTTAGTAACTCAGATTTTGATCTAGACACCCAAGTACTTTACTGTTTTATCCTAGGGGTGGGTGGGAAGACTTTTGCACTCTTTCTAGCAAGCAGTGCTCGCCCTTACCATGGAACTTGACAAGCCAGCCCTGTGACCTATTTTCAATTTATGGTACCTTGTCACTAGTCGTATTAGTATTCCTACGTAGAAGGTGTTTTCGACCATCTGCAAAGCGCATAGCCCTTATTTTGGCATCTGCACTGCCCGTCCCCTAACACATCTAGGATTTAAGAGCATGGCTCTTACGGAAAAGCTGCGCTTTCGGGACCTTTTTCCCCACATAGTTTGCTCTGAGCATTCCGGACCAAAGAGCAAAATCGCCGCTGCTGGATCCGATGTGTGTACACTTGGAAGCAAGAGCCACTGAGTTCCATGGGACCTGCTCCCGAGCACGTATGCACAGGAGCGGGTAGGTAAGGCTGGCCGGCGCGAAGAGCGGGAGAGCAGCCTTGCATCTCTTTCGCCAAGGTAGGAGCCCAGCCGGGAAGCCGGCAGAGCCCCGGGGCGCGTGGGGGGAGCTCATGCTGGACGAGAACGTCGCGCTCCCTGGCTCTAAGAGATTTTGCGATTTGGCCCTTTAAATGTGAAAAAAGAAAGGGGGGGGGAGAGGAGGAAGACGTCATTGCCGCGTGACCCCTCTGCTCCCCTCCCCTGCTTGACCCGGACGTGGAAGGGGGAGAGAGAAAGATGTTACACAGGGGTGGGCGGAAGGCGGAAGCGGAGGCTTACAGAGGGACGGAGCGAGGGGGCAGCGGCGGCAGCGGGGGGGGGGGGCGGCGGCAGCGCCCCCTCTCGTTTCCGGGCAACGGCACCAGGTGAGCGCCCCCCGCCTTCTCTCCCGTGCTTCCCGTGCCCTCCGTTGGCGGCCACGTTCTTCTCCTCGACCTCAGCCTGGAGGGACGCGCACTTGCCTGTCTTCCTCTCCACTCCTAGAAGTGGGCTGCAGGGGTTTATCTCTGTTGGCCATTGCAAGAGGGATAGCTCCTGCTCTGCGGAGGCCCTAGCGAGACAGGCTTCCTGCCCGGGGAGAAGCTGCGGGAGTGGCTTTTAAGTCTCTCTGCTTATTTTGCAGGAAGAGGGATCGATGATGGCCGTGACTTAATCTTCATCAAGGCCAGAGAAATTCTGGAACCTAAGCACCATGGAGAACATCAGGTCCGAGACTGAAGGACTGTATGAGCCTAAGTCAGGTCATCCTGAGTTGCCCAGGACTGTGCTGGGCACTAGCAGCCCTTGTGTGGTCAATGAGTGCTCCTTCTCAGACGGTGGGGATGGAGGAAGCAGTGTGTTCACTGGTGGCCACATATCCTATAAGTGCTGCAGTTGCAAAGGCTGTCCTAGTGGAGAGGGACAAGGTTTTGAAGCAACAGATGTGCCTCAAAAGGTTGAGATTTCAGCTGGGGAGCAAAGTGCTAGGGAGGCTCACATTGTTTGGAATGGAAGCTGTGATCAAGATAACAGGAGCTTGTACTGCACTGGCTACAACATGCCTGGCAATGAAACTGGCACTTGTAATTGTCAGGGAGACATTTCTGATCTTTCTGCTATGTATTCAGAGAAGGAGAATGACTTGTGTGACTTCACTTGCCAGCAGTGGCCTTCTGGCTCCAAGGAGGATACATCAAAGCTGCTGTTAGACCAGGAAGAAGAAGTTGAGGATGACACGTCATCAAAGGTCAAGGAGGAAATCCCTGAGTGCACTCGAGCTCCTGGTGGAAGGAAGGTTATCCGGCAGCAAAGGCACCGTTCTGCTGTTAAAGACAAAGGGGAAGGGCGTTTTGCACAATCTGGGGGGAAACATAGGCAAGCTAGGAAGAGGAGTGATGGTGGACGCCACCATATCCGAGATGAGCTGTTGAAGCATCTGGAGGGGTTGGCCTTGTTCTGTGTCTCCAGCTTCAAACTCTTTATCAGCTTGATTGTACAGGTCACCCACCGGTGTGGGGAAGGTGTGGAGGCTGGTGGAAAGCTACTGTACTCCTGCTGCTCCTTCAGCCCACGTGACCAAGATGCCATCCGAACCAGTGTGAAGGCTTGGATCCAGAATGCAAGGGTGGGCTGCAGGAAAATGACACGACACCTGGGCACATGGGTGACTCTGACTTACCGTCTGCTTAAGATGTTATGTGCTGTAATCTTCTTGGTGCTTATGCTTCTCCTGGGTAGCCTAAGACTTTGCTGGCGGGTCTCCAAGTCAACCCTGCTCAGTGTCCTGGGTAAATTAGCTCACACGAGTCATGGAGCCTGGCTTCTTTCAGCTATTGACTTGCCTCAAATTTGGGCCCTTTTCAAAGAAAGTAGGACTTGCAAATGGGTAGCAGGCTTGCTGCTTAAGTGGCTTGCCCCCCTTTGGATGCCCAAAGAACTAAGGACCAATCAGCCAGGAGCTGCGGCTTACAATGGTTCTCCCGGTGGATCTGGGCCATACCAGCCTGGTGAAGAGGTAGCACGCTTGCTGGCTCTGGTGCATACCCCTGAAGAAGAGCTCAATCCTTTCCAGGTGTTGGGCTTGGAGGCAACAGCATCAGATGCTGAATTGAAGAGAGCCTATCGGCACTTGGCAGTATTGGTGAGCATGTCCTTTGAACTGGAGGAGACTGGTGGGAGTTTTGAGGGGTGAATGCCTGAGGGGGAAAGAACTTCTTTTCGAGTTATGCCTTCAGATTTCTCTGTGCCTTGTGCTGACAAATCAAGAATGCAGTTCTGCTCCCAGGTGGATTCACAAAACAATTGGCAGTATTGCACAGCAGTACCAGAAGGTCCCTCCTGAATCTAGTTGACCCAGTCTTCAGTTCACTTATGTGGAGTGGAGAGTCCCAAAGGTATTGTCCAGCCAGTTCCTTCAGCAGTGCTTTAGATATCCTCTTGATTCACTTCCCATCTTCCATGCATCTTCCACCCCTACTATTATCCTTATGCTAATTGTGGTGATACGGTTTTGCTAATCTCTTTCTTTGTCAGGCCAGCATTATTGCTGGTGGTGGCTGGACTGCCCATGCAATTGTGATGAGCTTTTACTCTTGTCAAGGAGCAGCTTGCTTGGTCAGGTCGAACCTGTTATGTCTTAGTGCTTTAAGGTATGAAGGGTTCCCGTTAATTTCTGGAGATGTAGAATTCTGGCCTGAACCCTTTCCTGCTCTCCTTCCATCCCAGTGTGGGAAAATGAATGGAAAGTGAACAGCTGAACTGTACCTTTGGTTGGTTCCATGGCCCGACAGACCCGATCTACTTGTCCCACTAGTATCCCATTCAGGTCCTGCTTCCATTTGGAACTGCTAACCTCTCCTCCTGATTAGAATGGACTGGTCTTTGTTGCTTTTAACAGAGGACAGCCTCATCTAGTTGCCTTACTCTTCTGATGGGAGAGAGAACACTTGCAGGAAACATACCCTTCCTGTCCGAACTCCTGAACAAAAAATGTGCTCGTATTATGAGCTGGAAGAACTAGTTCAAATTGTAGCACTGCTGGATCATTTTGGGCAAACAAGCCTTGCTCTGCCTCAGCCCCATGTGATATGCAAGTGATTTGACTACTTGGCAGTACAGAAATAGAAAAAAAATAATGCCGATGGTGATGATTGCCTGAACAGCCAAATGCCTGCTAGGTTTACTGAGACAATGTGATATGATTTTCCCAAATGCTCAAATCATTGAAGCCTTTCTGACTTCTTGTTGGTTGTGGGGATGGGGTGGGGTGTTGCACAGGTTCATCCAGACAAGAATAAGCATCCACGGGCAGAGGAGGCCTTCAAAGTACTGCGGGCAGCCTGGGATATTGTCAGCAATCCTGAGAGGAGGAAGGAATATGAAATGTGAGTGGGTTACAATCTATTTGGTCACCTCATGCTTCAGAGTGAGTCTCTTACAGGGCCTGGGAACTGGGAGGGTGTGTGGAGGGAAGTTCTGAAAGTGGAGCCTCCATAGGAAGACGATACCTTCCAGGTGAGACCATAAGCACAAGCTTTTTCTTGAGGCGAGACTTGGAAGGGTCCAGAATGGTTTCAAGTGCCACCATGTGCATTGTGTTTATACTGCACTGATTGGGTGATGTTAGTCTTATTGCTGTCATCATTTATTATGTTTCTCTACTGCCTCATAACCGAAGCTCTCCTCTTGAATAAACAATTCCCCTCAAAGAATTAATCTGCTTACCTACAACCATGGCAAATTCTGCTGAGTGCCCTTCTGTGGGTTATTTCAGAGTAAATGGTTCAGTTCTGTTAATACATAAGTGAGCACATGTATTCACAGCTGGATTATTTGGTTACTGGAGCTTTGAAAAGGAGCCTGTATAAAAACTGCTCCTTCTCTCACCGTTGCTTTTTCCTCCTTGGTAACTGTAAGTAAACGCCACTACTCTGGTGCTACTTTCCCTTTGCTTTTCTCTTCTTGAGGGAAGCTTATAACAATTTTGACTCTTCCTTTTGAACTGCAGTAAGTGTATCCAACCATAGTAGGAAGTAGAAAAAAACCCAGACCCTTCCCACCTAGCAACTGGGCAAGGGTACTGTAGAAATAATAATGGAAGAGTACTGGAGATGATCGGGTCCAAACTGTACTCTTATCTTAAAGGCCTTTTGGGGAAAAGACCTAGAGGGATTAGAGGTAACACAGGACTTAGTAATTCAGATCAGGTGGTTCCTGTATTAATCTGCTCCTCAGCTCTTGTGAGTTTTGAAATCTACCCCATTTGATTGTTTAGGATGAACAATTTTTTCCTAGCTTTGTGTCATTAGTTAATTAATTGGTAAGACTGATTAAAATACTTCAGTCAACTTAAAGGTACGCTGGTTAATTGAGAGGTATGCTTCTTTTGTTTGCTTTGGTTTGCTATTACTGCTGGTAGCTTTCCCAGTATGAGAATGAGCATGCTGTCTGCATCATGACAGATGCTAGATAAGGAATTAACAGGACTTGTGAGGAATGTCTGCCTTGTATGGGCCTGTGCAAGCACAGACACGAGAGACAAAAGTTGCATAAATGTTGGAAAATTGAGGGGAATGTATATGCTGCAGCATGCACAACATATTGCTGGCAGCCTGATCCTATCATGATGGTTTGGAAATAAGTTCTGTTGGTTTCAAGTAACTATGTAAATACTTCAGCCTTGTGTCTGGAATTGTCAAGTCCTCTTTTTCATACTGGCACTTCTGCCACTGGCTAATGTCTTGCTTTATTCCTGTTTCAGAAAGCGCATGGCGGAGACAGAGCTGACCAAGTCAATGAATGAGTTTCTTTCCAAACTTCAGGATGACCTGAAAGAAGCTATGAACACCATGATGTGTAACAAATGCCAGGGGAAGCACAAGTAAGTGGCCGGCTCCCATTAGCTCTGTCCTGGCGTCACAGTTGCATCAGACTTGGTGCAGTAGTGGTGTCAGGGCACGTCAGAGTGCATTCCTCGTTTCGATAAAGCCACGTAGCAGAGATGCTGCATGCAAGACTGATGTGTTGTGAGGGTGGCATCAGAGCACAGAGACCCTGCTTACGGTAGAGCTCTTGGTAGTCAGTGGTGGGATGTCTTTTCCTTGGCAACACCGACTCCCTTGCTCGGCAGTCCAGTGTTTAAACTGTTGAGGTTGAAGCAAGGGTGAATTCCATGCAGTTGTACACATGGACAAAATCTGGTGTAAGATTCAAAACTGGTACCCTGAGAATTGAAGCTTCCCTTTATTTCAGAGACTGCTTCTAGGCAGCCATGGAAAGTTTGAGAGTTAGCTGGAGAAGCTAAGATACCAGAAAGCAGATGGGTAGGGTTCCAGCAGTTTTGTGTGGTGAGGCTGGAATATACGGCTTTAGTACCCTTCTCTGGTTTATGGCTATTTAGTCTGCTGGCCATTTTAAAGCTGGTCACCATGCCTCTCCTGTCCTCCATCCCATTACTTGTCAGGATATCTAAATCCCGAAAGTAGACAAACTTACACGCATACAAATGAATATAGCTTGTCAGAGCATAGAATTTAAGTTTCTACAATCTCCTTTAAGCTGCATGTGGAGTAGAGAGTTGGGGTTCTAAGTTCTAGTACATCAAGCACACTCAGTCCTGCTCTCTGACCTCTGATAAATCCTTTGCTGCAGGAGGTTTGAGATGGATCGTGACCCACTGAATGCCCGATACTGCGCAGAGTGTAGCAAGTTTCATGCAGCTGAAGAGGGTGACTTCTGGGCTGAGTCCAGCATGCTAGGACTGAAGATCACATACTTTGCCTTGATGGATGGAAAGGTTTATGACATCACAGGTAATGGCACCATGCTGCTGGATGAGGGCAAATGGGAGCAAAAGGTGAAGTCTTAAATGGCATTTTAGGTCTCCTTTTTCAATGTTAATCTGAGTACTTACTATTCAGGAACTAGCTGCTAATGCCTTACGGGCTTCTTCTATTGGGAGCTGGGGAAGCAGCTTGTGGCCCTTCAGAAGTTTCAGCTTAAAATTCCCATCATCCTTCACTGAAGGCTAGTGCTGATGGGAGTTGTAGTCCAATCAGCTTTTAGGGCCACATATTATCTATTGATTACCTGTTGTGTTTAGCCTCTGTGGTTTGTACTATAGACTTTTTATCTTAAGGCAAATCTGGTCAGTTCCACACATGGTTCTGCAGTGAAAATGCAAAATACATGCATCTTCAAACAGCCATGCCTGTGTATCTGGGAACACTGACCCAATTAGGGTTGCCAGGAAGCACGTTACATAATTGCATCATCCACTCTTGTGTTTCAAGAAATGTGGCTAGTAGAAAGTTTGCTCATAAGCCAAAAAGTGTAATGTTAACTTGCAGTTCAAGCCCTGTACGCAGCTTACAAGGTAATAAGTCCTCAGCGACGTGTAAGAGTTAAGCTTTTATTTGAGTGGTTAAAACCAGAGTTTAAGTCTTCAAAAGTGCAAATTGAGCCAGGCTTTTGGTAAGTCAGATCCCTGAACTGCAAGGGCAGCTTTAATCACCTCCTCTGCTTAATCCCTGCCCATTATCTGCATTCCATTTTTTTTCCATTTCTAGGAAGCTCAGCTGACCTGCATTTTCACTCCCTGGAGTTTGGTGTAGCTCAGCCATTGAGCCACTGCACCCTCTTATTTTGTGGTTTTAAATGAGGTCCTCCTAATTTGACTGCAGCAGCAGTTGGAAAAGGCTGACTAGGACTATAAAAGTAGGACAGGCTTGAGAGTGAGTGTCCTACAGATGTGAAGGGATACCCCAGTATTTGTAACCCAAGTGATAAAATGCCATGGTAATAAGAAGTTAATCCAACAGGCAAGTTAAGAACCTGTGCGAGTTTGGCAATGAGGTGAAGCCAGAACAGGCAACCCTTCTTCCTCATTTCTGACAGTGAATTATTTAGCTCTCCAAGTAAACAAATCCAACAGAGAAATCAGTTACTAAGGTGTGGGGGCTCTCCTGTGTATTGGGTAGTGTGTCACATGAACAAATACTTGCCTTTTATCCAGAGGTCTTGAGTGTGTGCTAGATGCAATAAAACAAGGAAACATCAGACCAAAATAGCTGTCTAGGGAAACTGAGAGAGGTTGTTGGATGAGTCTTTTGGAGCAGTGTCCCACTGCTGGGCTGACACCTTTCTGCTGCTAGAGAGAATGAAGGTCTTCAGGAAGGAGGACTTCACTCTGAGGAAGTGGGAAATAGTGCATGGCGATTCTTGAAGGATGAGCAGGTATCTTGGTGTGCCAAGAGTATGCCTCTAAAGGGATTCTGATAGTAAGTACAGGCAGTCCAGGGTTATGAACGAGTTCTGATCCTGAGAAAATGGGCATTTGTCTTTAAGCCGAATTTGTATTTAAGTTGGATCACATATAGTGAGTCCTCCATATTGTGGAGGCTAAGGATGCAGGATTGCCATGAAAGTGGAAAAACTGTAAATCTCTCCACCACCACCCCATCCCCAATTCACCAGTGCCACCTCTTTGCAGCAAGGAAATGCCAGAGAGATTTCTTCTCTGGATGGGCAGGGCAGGAAGACATGCCTTGGAGACCTCCCTCTCTGCCCTTTTGCTTCCTTTCTCTCTATGCTTATGATATTTTTCTGCAGTAATGGAAAATAGGCTTTATGGCAGTTCACTTTTAAGTATGGGTTGTTCATAATGTGGACAGTTGTAACTCAGGACTGCCTGTAATTCAATTATTAGGGGCAGATGGATCTGTAGTCTAGGAACATAGACTGCTTGGTGATGTGGATGTCTGATGTGAAAGTCTTGCAAGTAGAAATAGGCAAGGAGCATACTGTCGAGCGTGCCAGTCAGTCAAAGAGGCAAAGGACAATAAGGGGAAATGCAGACGCCAGAGACATTTGGATAAGGCCACTATGTATGTGTGTTTCTACAATAAGTTAGTGCGCTTAGTTTTGAAGGATAATAGAGTACAGCCAGTCCTCGGGTTACAAACAAGTTCCATTCCTGAGAAAATGGGCATTCATGTTTGAGTCAAGTTTGTATGTAAGTTGGATCATGTGTAGTTGGCCCTCCACATTCAGGGGGGTTAGGAGTGCAGGAACCCCGTGAAGGCGGAAAAACCACAAATATCTCTAGTTCCCACCCCAACGCACCACTTCCTCCTCTTTGCAGCAAGGAAATGCTGGAAAGAGTTTCCTCTCTGGATGTGTGGGACAGGAAAGCATGCTTTGGAGGCCTCTCTCCCTTTTTGCTTCCCCTCTGTCTATGGCGATGATGATTTTCCGTAGTAATTTTAAAAAATAAATAGGCTTCATGGCACAGGTTTGTTCATAAGTACAGGTTGTTTGTAACTTGGATGATCATGATTTGGGAACTGCCTTTATAAAAGAAACCTGGTGGAATGGTGACAACCTGCAGGATGCAGAGTTTGCCCCTTTTGATGTTACTAGTTTATTGGGCTCTCTGCCTTCTTTGACGTACAGTGTGACACCACACCCCGTACAGCCTTCTCAATTCTTCTTGCAGAGTTTGAATCCAGAGATGGCTGCATCTCGTTGGTTCTCTTCATTCCGCTGGCTTTCAGCTCTGCACCTGATGTCTATTCAGTGTCCTCCTCTGATTCTTCCTTCTTGACTGAGAGGCTTCCAGCATTTGTGTACAAGTGCCTCTTGATCCCATGGAGGAAGCTGTTTTTGGGATGTGCATCATTTCCTGTGTCCTTCTGCCCCTTTGAATGACAGTCATGCTTTACTCCTAGCGTATTTTCTTCCTGCTCCCATCAGGGTATCCAGACTTTTTCACCTTGGAAAAACATTTGCAGGAGAGTGCTATGGCTTTCAGATGCAGTTTGTGTGCTATCCGTAGGCATCTGGTTGCCACTCTGAGAACAAAATGCTCTCAGAATGAACCGGAAAAGTCTCTTATGTTAAATGCCAGTGCGCACCCAGCAAAGATGTTTGCTGCATAATGTCAAACTCTCCTCTTGTGTTTCATATACAACATAGTGATGATTTGAATCCCAAAAGACTGCATGAAAGCAAGAGGAGTTTAAATGCTGGTACTTTAGAAGTGCCATAATAATGGTAAAGTTATCCTACTGCAGAGGTTGCATTTGCTGTACAGGAAGAGAGTTCAAAGTCTAAGGATGGTTTTGCCTTCCTTGTGAGGCAGATAATTCTTACCACCTCACAGCCGATTTCTTCATTTTCTGTGCAGAATGGGCTGGCTGCCAGCGAGTGGGAATCTCCCCAGACACACACCGGGTCCCGTATCACATATCTTTTGGGTCAAGGGGCTCTGGAGGACGCCAGAGGTTAGTGCCAAATGTTGATTTCCTTTTAGAAATGTGAGCTCCCATTGTCTGAGCAGAGATGGGTCCTTGTCTAAGCTCTGACGTGTTTTTAGGTTTTGTGCCCTCCAGCCCAAAGAACCGTGTACACTTACATATCTTGTGTGAGCAGAGAGTTACTTTCCATTCTATCGTGGGATTTAATCTGTGCATTCAAAAGGTTGCTTCTACCACTGATGGGCAGTACTAGGTACACAGAGTGAAATGCGACCAGCAACCCAAACCCACAATAGGCCTTGCAGCAGTGGTCTTGTTGTAACTGTTGCGCACACTTACGCATAGTGTTTCTAAGCACTTTGTAGACAGGTGTTCCTTCCCAACTGTGAGTCTAAGACCCTTTTCCTGCTGTTCATTGAAAATTCGTATGGGAGGATTTCCATTACAGCTGCCTGATGTATTGGTCGGTTGCAGACCTGAATGGTTGCAGATAAATTGCTTCTAATCCTTGCGCATGAGTGATGCAAGTTGTGGTCTTGTTTCCTCTTCCAGTATGTTGCCTAACTGGAATGTGTTAGAGTCCCTGTGACTTAAGGTAGTACTATCAGACCACAAGATTTTCCTTGGTTCAGAGGAATCAAGGGCATGTGGTCTAGTGCCTAAAGGCCTGATTCCTACTCTAAAACCCTTCTAATAAAAATTGGTCCCCACTCTGAAGCCTCTTTTCCACCTCCTGGTTTATCATAATGCCCAACACCCTCACCTTTTGTACTCAGTGCTGCATCTGATGATTGTGTTCTGCCTTTCCTTTTCCCTTCCTCATTAAGAGCTGCTTCAGATGGCAGCCCAGCTTCGGCTGCAGAACTGCAGGACTTCTTCAACCGCATCTTCCAAGGCAATCATGGACAGATGCCGAATGGGAACTTTTTCAGCACACCTCAGCCATCTGCCCCAGGGAGTGTGCCAACCCCTCCTGCCCCTCCATCAAAGGTGGACAATGCTTCCCAGAAGGGAGACTCAAAACAGAAACGGCGGAAAAAGGTGCGACGTCCTTTTCAGCGCTGAGGACATGATTCAGTGGGAGTGAGATCTCCCAGGCCTGTCTGGATGCCAGGCTCTTTGTCAGGTAGCAAAAGGGCTGTTTCAAAAGGGAAAAGTATATTCTTGTTAGTGTCAAAACCCCAGATGACTCAGGCTCCTCTGGACTCATCCATAATCCAGTAACTTCTGGCTGGAAAGAGGTACTCTCTTCTCCACTGCAATCATTGACATAGTACCAAAGAACTCTGGTGGAAGGCCTCCTGAAAGCATCATAATGAAGATGTAGCAAGGCCACGTGAGGGTGATGGTAGTGCCGAGCATCCTGAACCATGGGATCTAATGCAAGATGGCTTCTATTATTGTTCAGCCTTCCCTCTTCAGCAGGAGTATGACTACCACCAATGCTGTTAACAAATTGTTTTTCTGTTGTCCACAAGGATGCCTCAACCAGAACCCCTTCTGATTTACTCCACTCGACCTGCTATCATCAGCCTTTTAGCTCATCTGGGACTTGGAGAAAAGTTGAGTCTTACAGAATGGTTTTAAATGCCCAGGGAAGCCTTGGCCTGTAACAGTTTTTAAACTCTGTAGGAAATACCCCCCGCCCCCCCAATTGTTGCACAAGATCAGCAACTATCTTCTTATCTCATGGTGGGGGTGTTCTACCAACTCCGTTAGAAGAGATGAAGGGATCTTTCTCCCCACCTTGCTAGAAAATATTGATTCATTGCCTACCATGCAAAGGAACCCATCAAGAACCCCCAACTTAGTGAAGTTATGAAGAGATGAAGATACACCCCCTAGCTATTCTTACAGGGGCTGCACAAACAGAGTGCAGATTCTCAGGATTATGCCAAGCAGGCTTTTGAGTCTCAAATGTTGCGTGGTTGTGTTGCAAGACTATTGAGATGAGGTGTTATGCACCACCCCATGGTTAAAGAGCCAATGGCCACTTCTGGCTCTGAATGCAAAGTGACTCTGAGAGATCTAAGTCCCTGTCTTTTCTTAGGCACTTGGATCACTCTTTCCTGATCCTGGCAAGCACATAGGTTGTCTATGCTATCCCAGGGCTTTGGTCAAGCCAGTTAAGAAACTGGTCGATTAAGCCCCAAGATTTAGCATGGACAGTCAGCTCTGTAACTGTCCAGCCTGTTTTATTGAAGGTTACTTTTTTAAAGAATTCATATTTGTATGTATATGCATATATTTAATACTATGTCTATTCCCCTTTCTATAAATACATATAAATGCCTTGGAGAGTCTGGCTTTTGGTTTAATTCTTACCCATTCTGTGCACAATGCAGCTATACATTTTAGAAATTTCTTGCATCTCCCTTTACCCTGACATTTCAAGGAGAAAATAAATTTTAGTCTCTGATTTAAGCTATGATGAAAATTAAGGGCATTAACTTAATGCTGTTCACATAACCATACTTACAAGCTGTAGATTCAAGTACTTACCACTGAAAAGGCATATATCCAATAACTCCAATTACTTAATTGGCACATTTTGTTTAAAAATTTGTGTGGCCTGTAATGCATTTTAGAGAGCTATTATAAATTGTGCCATAGTTGCATAAGCTTAATAAGGATGGCTAAAGAAGAGGAACTTGATTATAAAGGGGTTTAGCTTATTTAACGTCTCTAACCTGTTTTTCTGTGTTAAAAATGAAGCCGCATGGAAGTAATGGCATTTTGCCACCTTTGCCCTTATGTGGCAGAACAGAGTACAATAGAGTCATTTATTCCTTCATTAGGACATTATGAAGGTTCAGTTGTCCATCCTTCCCTCCTGCCCATATTGAGGCTTGGTAGTTCACAGCGCACTGGGGGGAATGTGCCTGCCTGGCTTGCTGCACCATGCTGAGGGAAGGGTTAGCCGATTCTCTCCCTTCATAGAACAGTTGCTTATTGCCAAGCCAGGAAAGGGCCTTAATGCTGTGCTAGATGTTTTCACCCATGTGCCCTTTGAAGTTGCAGCACAGTCTGCTCTTCTCATGTCAGCTGCTCTCCATCTTGATCTGCAGCCTGGTCTATTTCGATTCTGGTCTGTCTGACGGCATCAGGATTCATGGAGGACTTGTAGGGTCGAAGGGAGAGGAAAATCCATATTCCTAATGCTGTTTGCTGATATGAAAGGCCAACCCTCATCCACAAGTTCTTAGGGAAGGCTTGCCTCATTACCTGCTCTAGCCTGCTGTGAGGGGAGCAATCTTGCAGGTCTGTCTTGTCTTCCTGCTCTATGTTTCCTTGCTCAGTATTGGCAAAGGTCCTACAAAGCTACTACCAGGTCCCAGATTGAGGAACTGCTATAAGTTTGAAAGGGTTTCCTCCATCTGTTTAGTCAGTGCTTCTCTGTCCTCCTTACCCTTCAAATTACTTATCCATTCTTCTTGTTGGTCAATCTTTCTATTGTGCATTTTCTGTAGCTATTTCCTCAATATCTTGCTCTGTAGGCAGGGGATTGCAGTGTGCAGTACTGACATTATCCAGAAGGTGGTGCTGTAAAACCTATTATAGGAAAACGAAACTATACAGCCAGAGGTCAGGGGTATCCCAAAATCATTTCCTATATCACCCTCCTTATTTTACAAACTTTTTAGTGAATAAATACCCTTATCAGGGCCGCCCATCATGGAACCCACAACAAAACCTTCATGATAAGCAGCCCTATAAGGCAGAAAAACTGAGTGAAAGCTGCACAAAACAGCAAAAAAGCAAGAGCACCAAAATGGCAGCATCAGATGAGGAACTCCTCCATGCTAAAGCACCTAATCAGAAAAGATCAGGTACTGTGCTGGCTCTGTGACAAGTGTATGTAGGATTAAACTTCATAAACGTTCTATGGTGGACACTAGAACGACTTACTAGGGTTTTCATCACCTCTGTGAAGGTATCACTGGGAGTTAACATAGGTATATTGAAAATTGCAGCATGATTCAGTCAGTGGTGGAAGCCAGAGGTCCTGTAAACATACAAAAGCAATATACCTAGTCTTCATGGTGACGGGGAGCAAGAAAGGACTAAGAAACAGTCCTTGGTGGTTATTTGGAAATCACCAATAGTAGTAAGTTAATGGGTCTGATATTCTGTAGTTTGTCTCTTCCTAGCCTAATAAGTGGCAACCTATGTATTAATAATGTAGATTGTCAGAAAGAAAAATAGTTTGGGTCTGCAGGTAATGCCTACAACTTTTATTGGACTTTTAAAGGTTAACTGTTCATATTAGGAACAGCAGCTAGGCTCCTGAATGCTGAGAAGAAATTGGATTAGGCAAAGATAATAAAAAAGTAAATCTTTCCTGCTTCTCTGGCAAATGCAGTGTGCTTTCAGAATACAGCAAAGTTTCTAATCAACAATAGAAGGGAAGACAGAGTTGCCCCCCAATATCATGAGAATCAGAAAAGTGGCATGTTTGTGTTGCATTAAGAAAAAGGCCATTGCCACTTACTGTGGTTTTAATTCTGACTCTCAATTGTTTCAGAAGAATGGGTGATTGAAACAAACTTTTCTGAAGTTATGCTGAGGAATCTAGTAATGCCAAGTGGTCTAATTCTAGGGCAAAGTGGAATTAGTGTTGCCAGGACTGAGCCCTAGAACCGCCCCCACTCTGCGTGCCAAAAGGTTCAGTTGAGACATGCAAGCTGGGCTGTTGACATTACAGAATAAAGGCATATCTCAGCTCCGATGAACACCTTTAAGGCAGCTGCTCCACTTTCTCTGAAAAATTGCTTCAAAAATGATGCTGGGCCCATCTACTTAACTGAAACACTTGTAATTCCCACATTATGAATTAAACAGAGATATAGTCATATTGTGTATGCAGACTGGAAAAACATCCCTCTGCTGAATGCTTTCCATTTTCTACCTTGCATCTGGACTTGAGGAACTGAAATTAGACTTTAGACCCTCATACCTCTCAGAGTGCAAAGCAGGCACTTTTCTAAGGTAGGGTGAGAAACTTCCCACCTTTGGTTCTTGGCAGCTAGAGGACTGCCTGCATGTGGTCTGCGAATTCCCCAAAGGCAGTTACTGATTCACATGGGCTATTGGATATCGCCATTGCTAAATGCTCACTTAGGACTATCTAGGCGGGGTGCCACCCCAGGGCTGCCCAAAGGGACTTTTAGCCATCACTGTGTCTGTAAGGACTGAAGCATGGAAGTGAGATGTGTGCTGGAGCAAATGCCTACATGCTAACAGATTATCTCTTCTGTGGTTAGTGCATGTAGCTAGTGAAGAGGGAGGACGGATGGACTGTTCTAGTTGTTGCATATCTATTTGCAGCTGCCTAGAGAGGGTGGGCTCTCCTACACTAGTGACTAGTGACATTGAAAAGAAACTGGACAGCCATCTGAATGGGATGGTGTAGCTTGGTGTCCTGCAACAGCACGGGGTTGGACTCGATGGCCTTCATGGCCCCTTCCAACTCTACTCTTCTATGATTCTGTGATTTGTAGCCATATATATGATTGACCCATTGCTTCCATTCTTTTTCTAGTTCCTTGGGCTGGGATGCTATTGCTACTGATGTCATTGGGATCCTAGTGCTTTGCTAAAGAAGGAGAAATTGGAAATAGTCCCCCAAACAGCTCTTAAGAAGAACAGGCATATATAAAGGTGGGAGGAAAGATTACCGGTTCTGCTCCCTTTCACTTAAGCTTTCTAGCAACACCTTTTCCACACTGCCAAAAATGGGAGAAAAATGACTAGATAAAAAATATGGGATATAATTTTAAAATATAGCAGTAGCAGTTTTTTTAATGTCTGTGATTAGTAAATAAGGCCAGTTAGCTCATTCATATTGTTAGCGTGACCAAACCTAATCTGTGGAAAACAAAAGTGGACCTAAGGTGTGGTGGCTATTTAAATACAAGTTGGACCTGCAGTAACATGTTGCACTACAGTGAGCTGCTATTTCAGGGTGGTCCAATTTTCCATACCTCAAGGGCCACATGAGGACTTGGACATGGAACCAGGGGCCACACAATGAATTATATTTCCATATCATAAAGTGTTTGCAGTATATTTTACTTAATATACACAATTGATATATTTAATTAACCATTAAACAAGGGAGAAAACTGATATGAGGTGTCGGGGTTGGCTTGAGAATGCTTTGCAGGCCTACAGGCAGCTCCTGTTCCGGCCACCGTCAAAGCACAATGACTGCTCCTCTAGGGTGGCCCATCCCTTTCTTCCATTTCTCCTACCCAGAAACCTTCCCATGTGACCCCTCTGGCTCCCCCTTCCTTCTTGGAACTGGCGCACGGAGCCTCTTGTACTTGAGCCAACAAACTCTCCCCAGCATGCCAACTCCTGCTGACAAGCGCAAAGTCACTCAGCTCCTGACTGTAGCAAAGCAAAAGCAGCAGCGACTGGAATAGGGAAGGAATGACAAGGTGGGTTCTGCATTAAAGTGCGCTAGAATACCAGCCAATGGAGTCAGGGGGAAGGAAGGGCAGAACTACTCATGGTGGGCCAACCATCGACCAAGCACCCATACCGCGTAGCTCCTTCACAGGGTGATTCAGGGTGGTGTGCAAACAGGAGCAATGGGAGCAGGGAAATGCACAAACTCCACAAGGTTAGAACACAAGGTAAAGAGCAAAAACTAAACGTGCCATTGTTTTCTTCTCTGCCAGCCATGTGTTTGATGTAACCTACGGATCAGCCCTTAAGTTGCATATACCATTGCTCAGCCTGTTCATGACAGTTTTATCAACTGTTGGTTCTGTTTTGTATAAAATGTAAGACTGAGCCTAAGCTCCTCAAAGCATTTCGGCATTGTTTGGAATTCCTTTATTTTGGTGTTGCTATTTTTGCTTCCATTAGAATGAAGACACTTTGGGTTATTGTTGCTGTTGTTATATTCCTTCCCCAATGCATCTCTCATTTAAAGAAGCATTGGGTCCCCATCCCCACTGAAATCGCCACTGCCAGTTTGCAAAGGGGTGCCAGAAACAGTCACTGTGATGGTGGAAGAAAACAAGCTGCACCCGTGCAGGGGGTGCATGCGCCTTCCTTCCATGTAAAAGTACAGCAGTTTTTGCCGCTGCAGGAAATTCAGCAGGGGGTACAAAAATGGCTGTCAGTGGTTGCATAGCAGGGTGAGTGCTCTACACACTAGCAAAGGGCCCGCATTTAGGAACCTCCTGGGGGATAGATTTGGGAAAGAGCTCCCACACGGAACAGCCATGGGGTAGGGAGGAGTGAGTTTACGTTTCATACTAACTGGACCAGGATTCTTACGAACA